ACTGTCCTGCTCACCAGGGGTACCAGTCATTGTCCTGATTGCAAAGAGAGACTTAGGACCTAAGACAGAAGAGGCTGTGCAGTGGCAGCCAGGAGGGGGGCCCGAGGGAGCACTCTGTCCAGAGTTCTTTCAGTTCTGGGAACGTTCACCCCCTCTCTTCCCTTTGTTCTCCCACATGGCCAAATTTCCATGTCCATATGGAGTCTCACCTGTTTGCACCACTGCATAGTTCCCTTGCATGGTCCTGATAAAGTTCATTCTACTCTTTGACACTTCAGTGCGGTATTTGGTCACTTTGAACTCTGTTGCTTTTATCATCCTTTTATATCCACGCTTAGTATCTGCTGTAGACTGAATGTGTCCCCCCAAGTTCATGCTGACTCCTACTCCCTCCCTTCCATGGGATGGTGTTGGGAGATGGGGCCTTTGGGAGGTCATTAGTCATGAGGGTGGGGCCCCATGATGGGATTAGTGCCCAGTCTGTGGATTCTGTTATGGCAGCCTGAGCAGGCACTGAATTATTATGAAATTTACTGAACTCACCTGTGCTGAGTTCCCAGCCCATCTGGTGTGTCATCATTGCTCAGGGGTGGCATCTTTTATTATTCATAAGACTGTTCCCTATCTTAAACTTGGGGTGGTTTTCATGTTAATCCTCTTCCCCTGGGATGGGGACCTGTTTGGGGCTGGCGTTAGTGACTGATGGCTCAGACAGGACCCAGAAACCATTCCCTGAGAGGCCACAGGGCCATGAAGGGGGACATTCTGGCATTGCTGCTGCTGAGCCCAGCAACAGTGGTACGGACGTTCTTACCAGACGGCAGCTGCCGACGGGTACCCCGAGTGAGGTGAATCCCTGGTCTTGGTGTGGGCACCTTCCCTCGGTGGGGATGCGGCATGGTCCTGCCAGAGGCTGGCCAGATGGAGGGCCAGGCGCCCAGCTGGCTGATGTCTGAGTTGGGCAGGCCATTTTCTGAGGGTGCCACTCCAGAACCCCACTCGAAAGTTCATTTGTCCCCTTAAACAGCCAATCTCTCTGAGCTGGTCTCCTCCTGTGCACAGCAGGGATATTGTCACCCCTTCCGTGGGCTGTGCGGGTGGGCCCTGGGTGTGATGCGGCCACAGGTCTCCGGGGGTAGGAGTGTGGTGGCCTGGAGGACTTGGGGATGCGTGGGGTCACCTGGCCTCTGTCTCCCCAACTCCCTCCAGCCCTGCCTGCTCAGGATCTTGTCCTCTCCATGAGGGGGACTCAGTAGAAGATGGGACGTTTGCTGGGCTTCTGATGATTTGGTTGTAAGTGAATGAGTGGAAAATCCCTCCTCCTTCAGAAGGACTTTCCATTTTTTTTTAAAGATTTTTTTCCACGTGGACCACTTTTAAAGTCTTTATTGAATTTGTTACACTATTGCTTCTGTTTTTATGTTTTGGTTTTTTGGCTGCGAGGCATATGGGATCTTAGCTCCCCGACCAGGTATCGAACCCACACCCCCTGCACTGGAAGGCGCAGTCTTAACCACTGCACCTCCAGGGAAGTCCCAGGACTTTCCATTTTCTCAAGGGTGGACACCTCTCCTTCCCAGCCTGGAGTCAGCAGCCAGCCAAGGCCGGGCTCCTGTTTCCCTCAATTCCCTGGGCCTCTTAGGGGCTGGAGGGGCTGCCCTGACACACGGGGTCTCTCTCACACCTCTTTTTAGCCGACTAGTTGCTGCATGTCCTGAGGTCCTGTGGGGACACAGAAGGAGCTGTGAGGCCCCAACGTCCCAAGAACTCGCGGTCCCCGTGGGGGGATGTTGACTTGTTCCCTGGGTGTTCCCTCCGTGCCCTCAGTGGGCCTGGGCCCGTGTGGACCCGGGACAGGTCAGGGTGAGGTGGGACGAGCCCGTCTGACAGCAGAGAGCCACGTTCAGCCTCCAGACCTGCATCAGAGAGATTCTGGAACCTCTAGCTGGTAGGCGATCACCGCCAGGCGCCCACAGTGCCGGCCAGGTTGGAGGGCGGGCTCAGAACAGCGCTGCGTGTGCTGGTTCCCCTCCTCAGCCAGCCCCGTAGGCGTGTGGGGTGGCGTAGGACTCAGGAGTGTTTGAGGATGTGGCCGTGGACTTCACCCCGAGGGGTGGGTGTTGCCGAATCCTTCCCAAAGGAATGTCCACGGAGAAATGATGCTGGAGACCTGGCCTTGCTTGGTAATACTGTCCACTCCTCCACGTTCCCTGGGCCAGGGCTCCCCGGCACTGCTGACATGGGGGCCGTCCTGGGCGCTGTGGGGTTTGGAGTGGCATCCCTGGCCCCACCCCCTCGATGCCGGGAGCCCGCCAGCGGTAACAATCCCAGAGGTCGCCAGACATGTGCGCGTGTCCAGGGGCAAGCTCACCTGGGTGAGAACAGGCAGGTTCACACCTTAAGGCAAGGTGTGTTTATTTGGCTTCTGCTCTTGCTTGAGTGTTCCCCCCCACCCCCACCCCGGATTCGGGAGCCGTGGCAACAGCACCGGGACCCGCCCTCAGTGAAGAGCCCTCCCCAGGCGGCCACGTTTCCCCAGCAGTGACTCGACCTCCTGTTTCCTGATGCCCTTTGGCGTGCAGGGTGAGGGCGACTGGGGGATCTGGTCCCCTGAAAACCATCACCTGTGTCCACAGAAGTCTGGGTCCCCGTTGGCAGGTCTAGGGTCAGATTTGCCAATCCTTGGAGCCCTGGAGACGGCAGTATCGGCTCCAGTCTGAGGGAAGGATTTGTAGTTCGGGGCTGTGTCCTCCTACACCATCCATCCCGCATCTTCCTGTGCGATCAGGAAGCCCCACAGACCTCCCAGGATCTCCCAGTGGGACCAAGAAGAGTCAGGGACTCTGGATGGAAAAATTCTCCAGGGCACCTGGAGAAAAACTAAATTAAAAAAAAAAAGTATTTGTCATTTCTACCCTTTGTTGCCAACATCAGCCGACCCCTCGGAGGTCAACACCAGCCCTGTTCTCTACCCAGTGGCGGATGCTGCTTCCCCACATTTCCCTTCACATTTGGGGGCCCATGTTTTAAGATATCTCTATGGGGTTTGCCTGCTTTTACTCACCTTTGTCCAGCCATTTCTTTCTTTCTTTCTAGCATTTTAAAATTGAGACATAATTCACATACCATAAAAGTCACCATTTTAAACTGTCCCATTCACTTGTTTGTAATATATTCACAGGGTTGTGCAGCCATCACCACTCTCTAGTTCCAGAACATTCTCATCACTCCCAAAACAAGACCCCCTGCCCATTAGTAGTAGTCAGTCCCCACCCTCCTTCCCCAGCCCCTGACAACCACAGATGCACTCTCTGTAGATTTGCCTGTTCTGGATGGTGTTTTTTTTTAATTTTTAAATTTAATTTTTAAAAATTATTTTTATTTTATGGTATTATTATTTTTGGTTACATTGGGTCTTCGTTGCTGTGCATGGGCTACTCTTCGTTGTGGTGCACGGGCTGCTCATTGCAGTGGATTCTTTTGTTGTGGCGCACAGGCTTCGGTAGTTGCAGCATGCAGCCTCAGTAGTTGTGGCATGTGGGCTCAGTAATTGTGGCACATGGGCTTAGTTGCTCCGTGGCATGTGGGATCTTTCCGGACCAGGAATTGAACCTGTGTCCCCTGCGTTGGCAGGTGGAATCTTAACCCCTGCGCCACTAGGGAGGTCTGTTCTGGATGTTTTACATCAATGGAATCACACTCTGTGTGTCCTTTTGTGTCTGGCTTCTCTCACCGAGCATCATGTTCTCAAGGTCCATCCATGTTGTAGTGAGTGTCAGTGCTTCTCTCCTTTTCATGGCTGAGTAATATTCCATTGTATGGATGCACACATAGTGTTTATCTGTTCACCAGTTGATGGACATTTGGGTTGTTTCTACTTTTTGGCTGTTGTGAATCATGCTGCTGTGAACATTTGGGTACAAGTTTTTGTGTGGACATCTGTTTTCATTTCTCTTGTAACTCCATGTTTAACTTCTTGGGGAACTGCCAAACTTTTCCACAGTGGCTGCACAGTTTAACATTCCCACCAGCAGTGCATGAGGTCCACTTTCTCCACATCTTCGCCAACACTCTTTTGTATGAGTTTTTGTTTTCGGCCATGCTGTGCAGCATGGAATCAAATCCGTGCCCCCTGCAGTGGAAGCATGGAGTCTTAACCACTGGATCACCAGGGAAGTTCCCTGTATGAGTCTTCTTTTTTTTTTTTTTTTAATAAATTAATTTATTTATTTAGTTTTGGCTGCATTGGGTCTTTGTTGCTGCATGTGGGCTTTCTCTGGTTGCAGAGAGCGGGGGCTACTCTTTGTTGCCGTGTTTGGGCTTCTTATTGAGGTGGCTTCTGTTGTTGCCGAGCACAGGCTCTAGGCACATGGGCTTCAGTAATTGCGGCTCGTGGGCTCTAGAGCACAGGCTCAGTAGTTTTGGCACACAGGCTTAGTTGCTCCGCGGCATGTGGGATCTTCCTGGACCAGGGATCAAACCTGTGTCCCCTGCATTGGCAGGCAGATTCTTAACCACTGAGCCACCAGGGAAGTCCCTGTATGAGTCTTCTTGACCCTACTATGTGTGAAGTGGTATCTCATTGTCGTTTTGATTTACATTTCCCTATTGAGTAGTGATGTTGAGCATCTTTTCATCTGCTTATTGGCCATTTATATGTCTTATTTGGAGAAATGTGTATTAAAATCCTTTGTCCATTTATTTTTTTTTTTGTGGTACACGGGCCTCTCACCGTTGTGGCCTCTCCCGTTGTGGAGCACAGGCTCCGGACGCACAGGCTCAGCAGCCATAGCTCAGGGACCTAGCTGCTCCACGGCATGTGGGATCTTCCCAGACCGGGGCACGAACCCGTGCCCCCTGCATCGGCAGGCGGACTCTCAACCACTGCGCCACCAGGGAAGGCCCTTTGTCCATTTTTAATTGTTTTTTTTTCTTTTTATTGTTCAGTGTTACTCTCTTTTTCTAAGAATTTAGTAATTTTTTTGTCCATTTTATTGTAGACTGGAGGACTCAGCTTACAACCAAGGAGTCAACTTCTAAACAGGATATTTTTGGAGAAAAGACATTGGAGGGCATAAAAATGGTAAGATTCAGGAGGGATAGATCCTGGTCCTTTGCTCTCAGTAAAGTCAGTTGGGATCAGGAGAGAAATGTGAGGCAAATGACTTTTATTCAAGACAAAATTGTATCTCTGGGGAAAGTCTTTGAAAAGTATGAATCAGGAGAAAACGAATGCAAACTTTTTCTGCCTAAAACCAGTTGGCAAATGTTTTTGGTTTTGAGGTCCGTGGGTTTTCTATGACAACACCTCAGGCAATAAAGGAAGGAACGTGTCCGTGTTCCAATAACCCCCTTTTCCCCTCCCAGTAACCCTTTATTTTTTTTTTTTTTTTTTTTTTGCGATACGCGGGCCTCTCACTGCTGTGGCCTCTCCCGTTGCGGAGCACAGGCTCCAGAAGCTCAGGCTCAGCGGCCATGGCTCACGGGCCCAGCCTCTCCGCGGCACGTGGGATCTTCCCGGACCGGGACGCGAACCCGTGTCCCCTGCATCGGCAGGCAGACTCTCAACCACTGCGCCACCAGGGAAGCCCAACCCTTTATTTACATGGGGTTGGATTTGGCCGGCAGGCCAGAGTTTGCCGGCCCCACCCTAAACCTAACTCAAAAGTTTTTTTTCTGGAACATTCCCAGAAGTAAACATTTCCACAGACGTACCTCAGTTGGAGTGAGTGTTTGAAGGAGAATTCAGAATTAAACAGGGATCCAAAACCCACTTCCTGTAATCTGCCTCAGGAGGGCCACAAATGTGATGGAGTCTCTGGCAATGCATTCACCCTCCTCGCTTCACACACACTTACTAAGGACCCAGGCAACTCTCACACTTGCTCACACTCGCCCAGAACCAGAGACTCTGCGTCTGTGATCACAGCCGGGCTCATGCTGGGGAAGGCCCTATGGGGCAGAAGAGCCTCCAGGAGGAGCCCAGATGTGATGTGGCACAAGCGCCAGCAGGAAACTTGGGAAGTCCGTCATCCTTCCGGAAGCGCGTGAGAACTCACCAGGGGGAGGCCCTGCAAGGATGCCCAGTGCTCAGAGCCTTCAGCCCACACGAAACATATTAATAGTTCTACAGTGAAATGTAGAAAGAGTCATCCTAAGTGGGATAAATAATACTACAAAGTGCTGTACAAAAGTTGAGGTCAGATTTTCCCAAAAATTAATGCAGAAATGATCTTACATTACTGCAAAATGAGTTGCCAAAATTACACATTCAAAGACTTGTGGATTTTGGAATTGCAGATAAGGGTCTGGGGAGCTCTATAAAATTTCTAAACCTGTATGCACCTAATAACTTGGCCTCAAAATACTGTAAGAAAAAAAAAGACAGAATTAAAGGAGAAACTGCAAAATTCACAGTCAAAATGGGAGATTTAGGGCTTCCCTTGTGGCACAGTGGTTGAGAGTCTGCCTGCCAATGCAGGGGACACGGGTTCGTGCCCTGGTCCGGGAAGATCCCACATGCCGTGGAGCAGCTGGGCCCGTGAGCCATGGCCGCTGAGCATGTGCATCTGGAGCCTGTGCTCTGCAACGGGAGAGGCCACAACAGTGAGAAGCCCACATACCGCAAAAAAAAAAAGGGAGATTTAGGCACAACACTCTGAGTAAGAGGAAGTTCCAGCAGTTAAAAATTAGCTTACACAGTTGTTTTTCAGGTTTTCTCATAGCTTGATCTAATGAACTTACATAAAACTATTAAACCAACAATTAGAAAATACACAATCATAACGAACCCACATGGAGAGTTAACGTTAAAGTAACAACATATTGGATGCATCAGGGATTGCAAGCATCCTTAAACAATGGCTTCAAGAGGGATCTATAGGGCTTCCCTGGTGGCACAGTGGTTGAGAATCTGCCTGTTAATGCAGGGGACACGGGTTTGAGCCCTGGTCTGGGAGGATCCCACATGCTGCGGAGCAACTAGGCCCGTGAGCCACAACTACTGAGCCTGTGCGTCTGGAGCCTGTGCTCCACAACAAGAGAGGCCGCCATAGTGAGAGGCCTGCTCACTGCGATGAAGAGTGGCCCCCGCTTGCCACAACTAGAGAAAGCCCTCGCACAGAAACGAAGACGCAACACAGCAAAAATAAATTAATTAATTAATAAACTCCTACCCCCAACATCTCCAAAAGAAAAAACAACGTATCTATAGGGACTTCCCTGGTGATCCAGTGGGTAAGACATCAGGCTCCCAGTGCAGGGGGCCCGGGTTTGATCCCTGGTCGGAGAACTAGATCCTGCATGCATGCTACAACTAAGAGTTCACATGCCATGGTGAAGAAGTCCGCATGCCGCAACTAAGAGTACACGTGCTGCAACGAAGATCCCACGTGCCTCAATGAAGACCTGGCTCAGCCGAAATAGATAAATAATTTTTTTTTTTTAAAAGAGGGATCTATGTAGTGACAAACAGCAGTGTGGGGACTCCCCTGGTGGCACAGTGGTTAAGAATCCACCTGCTGGGGCTTCCCTGGTGGCGCAGTGGTTGAGAGTCCTCCTGCCGATGCGGGTTTGTGCCCCGGTCCAGGAAGATCCCACGTGCCGTGGAGCGGCTGGGCCCGTGAGCCATGGCCACTGAGCCTGCGCATCCGGAGCCTGTGCTCCACAGCGGGAAAGGCCACAGCGGTGAGAGGCCCGTGTACCGCAAAAAAAAAAGAATCCACCTGCCAATGCAGGGGACATGGGTTCGAGCCCTGGTCTGGGAAGATCCCACATGCCACGGAGCAACTAAGCCCACGTGCCACAACTACTGAGCCTGAGCTCTAGAGCCCTCGAGCCACAACTACTGAGCCCGCGTGCCACAACTACTGAAGCCCGAGCGCCTAGAGCCTGTGCTCCGCAGCAAGAGAAGCCACAGCAACGAGAAGCTGTACACCGCAACGAAGAGTGGCCCCCACTCACCACAACTAGAGAAAGCCGGAGTGCAGCAACAAAGACCCAACACAGCCAAAAAAAAATAATAAATAAATAAATTTATAAAAAAAAAAAAAGAGAGAGAATAGACTTGTGGATGCCAAGGCAGAGGGGGTGGTGGAGGAGGGATGGGTTGGGAGTTTGGGGTTAGCAGATGCAAACTATTATATATAGAATGGATAGACAACAAGGTCCTACTATATACCACAGGGAACCATATTCAATATCCTGTGATAAACCATATTGGAAAAGAATATATGTATAAAAAAGAATGTATGCATATATATGCATAACTGAATCACTTTGCTGGACAGTAGAAAGTAATACAACATTGAAAATCAACTATACTTAAATTTTAAAAAATGGGAAATAAGTAGTGGAGTTACTAGATGCAATTTTTTTTTTTTTTTTTTTTCTGGGGGTATTGAGTCTTTGTTGCAGCTCTCGGGCTTTCTCTAGTTGCGGCGAGCGGGGGCCACTCTTCGTCGCGGTGGGCAGGCTTCTCATTACGGTGGCTTCTCTTGTTGCAGAGCACGGGCTCTAGGTTCGTGGGCTTCAGTAGTTGTGACAGGTGGGCTCAGTAGTTGTGGCTTGTGGGCTCTAGAGCGCAGGCTCAGTAGTGGCACACGGGCTTAGCTGCTCCGCGGCATGTGGGATCTTCCTGGTCCAGGGCTCGAACCTGTGTCCCCTGCATTGGTAGGCGGATTCTTAACCACTGCACCACCAGGGAAATCCCTAGATGCAATTCTGCTACCAAGGGCACTTGCCATTGTTAAGGCATCAGATCATTCTAAGGGTGACACTGCAGAAGCAAAAGGAAATTCTCTAGTGGATAACACTCCCAAGCAGAAGCTTTACAAACCAACAAGGACCAACTAACCACTGCCTTTCCCTTTCAGCCTCCCAGTAACCTTACTGACATATTGTTCAAGTTTCAGAGAATGGTACCAGACAAAGAAAAAGACACCTGGACACAGAATGCAGGAAGATTCAACTCCAATACAGAGCTGTGGATAGGCCCAAAAGGGAAGCTTATCCTGTTTGGAGCTCAATATCCTATTTTACAATATACTCATGAGTTAACCCGTTGGAACCCAGATAAGATAGTGTTATGGGGTAAACAATATTTTTGGAAGCCTTCTTTTACTATAGCTCCAAAGGTCTATTCAGGATACAGTCCTTGTCCCAAATATAACCCATGGAAGCCAATCCATTGTTCTCAAGGACATTTTCCATTACCTGTGGGTCCTTTTGAAGTATACCAGATTGGTTTTATACAAATGTCTCCTTCCCATGGTTATCAATATGTTCTTGTTATGATTTGTACGTTTTCACACTGGGTTGAGGCATTCCCATGTAGATGTGCCACAGCACAATCAGTAGGGAAATTGATTTTAATATTTATTTATTTATTATTTTTATTTATTTATTTTGGTTGCGCCGGATCTTAGTTGCAGCATTCAGGATCTTCAGTTGTGGCACACGGGATCTTTAGTTGAGGCACATGGGATCTTTAGTTGCGGTATGCGGACTCTTGGTTTTGGCATGCATGCAGGATCTAGTTCCCTGAACAGGGATCAAACCGGGGCCCCCTGCATTGGGAGAGTGGGGTCTTACCCACTGGACCACTGGGGAAGTCCCAGGAAACTGATTTTAGAAAGAGTGGTTCCCATTTGTGGAATCCCCTCAGAACTACATCACGATAGAGGAACTCATTTTATTGGACAAATTGCTAAAGAAATTTGTAAGATTTGGCTGATTATGCAAGAGTTCCATTGTGCCAATCAACCCCAGTCTTCTGGGTTTGTAGAAAGACAAATGGAACAATTAAAACTCAATTGGCTGGGGGTCTCGGCTTCGATCCCTGGTGGGGAGCTAGATCCTGCACGCATGCCCCAACTAAAGAAATCTGCATACCGCAGCTAACTAAGAGTCTGCATGCTGCAGCTAAGAAGCCCGCGTGCTGCAACTAAGACCTGGTGGAGCCTAAATAAATAAATAAAATGAATAAATAAATAAATAAATATTTCTAAAAACCCTCAATTGGCTAAAATTATGAATGCTTATTCTTCACCCTGGCCTAAGGCCCTTTCATTGGTTCTCCTCAACCTCAGATCCACCCCTTTTGGCAAACATCATTTGTCTCCCTTTGAGATTATCATGGGGAGACCAATGAGATTGGATGAAGGATTATATGAACCTAGATTATTGAAAGGAGATATATTACATTATCGCAAAGGCTTAATGGAATTATCAGCAGGACATTCTTTTTTTTATTGAAGTATAGTAGATTTATAATGTTGTGTTAGTTTCAGGTATACAGGAAAGTGATTCAGATTCTTTTCCCTTAGAGGTTATTATAAAATATTGAGTATATTTCCCTGTGCTATACAGTAGGTCCTTGTTGGTTATCTATTTTATATATAGTAGTCTGTATATGTTAATCCCAAACTCCTAATTTATCCCTCCTCTACCCCATTTCCCCTTTGGTAACCATAAGTTTTGTTTTATATGTCTGTGGGTCTGTTTCTGTTTTGTATATAAGTTCATTTGTATCTTTTTTGTTTTTTAGCTCCGCATCTAAATGATATCATATGATATTTCTCTGTCTTACTTCACTTAGTATGATAATCTCTAGGTCCATTCGTGTTGCTGCAAGTGGTATTATTTCATTCTTTTTTATGGCTGAATAATATTTTATTATATTATACATACATACCACATCTTCTTTATCCATTCATCTGTTGATGGACATTTAGGTTGTTTCCATGTCTTGGCTATTGTGAATAGTGCTGCTATGAACATTGGGGTGCATGTATTTTTTCGAATTATGGTTTTCTCCAGATATGTACGCAGGAGTGGGATTGCAGGATCATATGATAGCTCTATTTTTAGTTTTTTAAGGAACGTTCCTACTTTAACAGGACATTCTAATCTTGTATCTGAAGCTTATCACAGTAATTGATCCTCAGATGAAGATCAGATGCCCCATGACTTACAAACAGGAGATTATGTATACTGGAAAAGCCATCATTTAAAAGCCTCCCTCCAACCTTAGAAGGAAGGGCCCTTATCAGGTTCTTTTAACTGACTCAAGTGCATTAAAACTGAAAGGAATTGGGACTTCCCTGTTGGTCCAATGGGTAAGATTCTGTGCTCCCAATGCAGGGGGCCCAGGTTTGATCCCTGGTCGGGGAACTAGATCCTGCATGCATGCCACAACCAAGAGTCCACCTACCGCAACTAAAGTCCGCATGATGCAACTAAAAGATCCCGCATGCTGCAATGAAGATCCCTCGTGCCACAACTAAGACCCGGCGCAGCCTAAATCAATAAATAAATATTAAAAATAAAACCCCACTGAAAGGAATTGACTCTTGGATTTACATTTCCCACCTAAAAAGGGCCCTTGCACTGGACTGGTCTATAGAGAGAACTGCTGACCTCAAACTCACCTTAAAGTGATACTGTAATGATGCTCTAAAAAGAAAGAAACACCAATGCCAGGACCAGAAGAAGGCAACATCAGAAGTAGACAGCTATCCCAAGAGGCTGGACCTGACCCATAAGATTATTTATAATGTTTTCTTCTTGATTTCTTGGGCTTTTGCCCACAAATCAAATGTTTTTCCATCATGGGCATGATCCTATGTGAATTTAAGAAATCAATCCAATTGTTGGGTTTGTGGTCAATTACCTGCATCCAGTACTTCTCTTTTACCTTGGTGGGTTTCTCCTCTCCAAGGCTCTTATTGGATGGGCCTTAAAAAATTTATTTTAAAAGAAAGAAGCTATAGTTCTCTCCAGGCCACTACTGATATTACCAGATTGGACTTGGGCAATCCAACATATTTATTCTGACCCTGGCCATAAATATGAGTTTTCCCTTAAAGTTACTCAAGCTCAATCAGAACTATGAGCTAAATTTCAATTAAAAAATGTCACCTCTTGGGACTTCCCTGGTGGCACATGGTTAAGAATCCATCTGCCAATGCAGGGAATGGACATGAGTTCAATCCCTGGCCCAGGAAGATCCCACATGCCGCATAGCAACTAAACCCAAGCGCCACAACTACTGAGCCTGCACTCCAGAGTCCGTGAGCCACAAGTACTGAACCCCCGTGCTGCAACTACTGAAGCTCGCACGCCCAGAGCCTGTGCTCCGCAACAAGAGAAGCCATAGCGATGAAAACCCTGCGCGCTGCAACGACGAGTAGCACCCACTCACTGCAACTAGAGAAAGCCCACACGCAGCAGCTAAGACCCGACACGGCCAAAAATAAATAAATAAATAAAATTAAAAAAAAAAAAGTCACCTCTTGATTACTAGGAGGGACCTTCCCTCAGTTATGGGATGGATTTATTTGGCTAACACCAGGCTATGGTCGTCTAAGTTTAAAGACGCCCCCCCCCCACAATGTGTTGCAAACAATTAAATCATACTAAAGATAATCAGCCTAAATACACTAGGAAATTAGGCTGGGTACCTTATAAAAAATGCCAATATGTCATTTCATTTCCCTTCAAGATAGTGACTGGGGAATTTCCTGGTGGTCCAGTGGTTAGGACTCTGTGCTTTCACTGCTGAGTGTGCGGGTTCGATCCCTGGTTGGGGAACTAAGATCCCACAAGCCGTTTGCTGTGGCCAAAAAAAAAGATAGTGATTGGTATGGAGCATTTTGGGTCAGGTGACCAGGAATATAATGGGTCACACCTAATGGGACTCGATGGCTTTGTGGGTTCAACCTATGGCCCTGACTTCTGCCATGATGGATAGGAAGATGTACTGTAGGATTCCCTTAGACGCAACCCCAGCAAATTTACCATCAATATGAGCCCGATGGACCAAAAGATCTGTGTTTCACTGGTAGGATCACTTAGCAGCTATTTTGTGCCTTCAGTAGGACTGGAAGATGTAATTTCCCACAGTGAAGCCTTAACAGAATTCACCCTAAGGCCTTAAATGATAGTAACCAGGCTATTAACCTACTGAATTCTGAGATCCCCATTATGAGGAAAGCTGTGTTACAAAATCATATGGTCCTTGATATCCTTACAGCATCTCAAGGAGGCACGTGTGCCCTAATTCAAACTGAATCCTGTGTTTTCATACCAGATGAATACTCCAATATAATACATTTAATAAGCTACCTGAAAAATCAGATTGCTGCCTTAGATGACCTACTTCCTAGCCTTGGTGATCTTTTGGGAAGCTGGTTTTGTTCTGGAAGCTCATGGCTTAAGTCCCTACTTGTGACTTCATTAATGTTACTAGGTATATTACTTATATCCTGTCTATTTTATAAGATATAAGATACTTATTTCCTGTCTATTTTATGTTACTAGGTATATTACTTATATCCTGTCTTGAGGAAATAGATCTCGTTTATAACTCTAGACAGAACAATTGTAATAGTGTAATTCTAGGTATGGGAAAAAGCAACAGGGGAAAACATTTCCTGGATCATAGTAAACTAGTAAGACAGGTGATCCAGAGAATTTTAAATTATCAACAGGGCCCCATCTGGGACTTCCTTGGTGGCGCAGTGGTTAAGAATCCGCCTGCTAATGCAGGGGACACAGGTTTGATACCTGGTCTGGGAAGATCCCACACGCTGCAGAGCAAATAAGTCCGTGTGCCACAATTACTGAGTCTGCATGCCACAACTACTGAAGCCCGCATGCCTAGAGCCTGTGCTCCGCAACAAGAGAAGCCACCGAAATGAGAAGCCCGCGTACTGCAACGAAGAGTAGCCCCCGCTTGCTGCAACTAGAGAAAGCCTGTGCACAGCAACGAAGACCCAATGCAGCCATAAATAAATATTTTTTAAAAAAGCAAAAAAAACCCAAGGCCTAATCCAAAAATTGGCATATCAACAGAATCTTTACCTGATCTAGGAATGAGCTTTCCTAGCACCATGGGACAAAATTGGTCATGAGATATCTCCCAAACATTGGTGGAATTTACGACCAATGGGAAACATTCTGAATGAAAAATGTTGCCTGCCATATCAGTAAACAAAGGATGTTGCAGCCGTCAAGCCATCACATTACAGCTGCTCCCGAGGTGCACCCTGAGGAGACTCAGGATGAGAAAGCACAGGAAACTGGCCCTAGATAGCTGAGGTGCATATAATAGGGATTGAAAGCAGCTCTTTTGCCCCTTTTCTGTTACCCATTTCTGTCCCCCACTAATCTTAAAAGACCTAATTATAGGAATGAGATCACTAAGCAGTTGATACTAACTCCTGACTTATGCTCTCCTGAATGTACACCATGCCTTGTCTAACCTGGTTGTTCTTTTCCTAGATGGAAAAGAAAAATGAAGAATAAAGCAGGTAAAAAATGACTAGCTCTCTATCTGCAACAGCCCCCTTAGCAATCCTGCAGGCAGATCACACAGGCAAGATAACATCTGAAGAGATGGTATCTGCTCGCAGTGGAGAAGGATGCAGAACTCAACCTCCTGCCTCGATGATTCACTGAGATTCTCCCCCACCCCCCTTTTCCCCCTTTAAAAACTGTCATGCCTAAGCAGAATCTTTGGAGTTGGTCTCGGACACAAGTCCACCTTCTCCCCAGATTGCCAGCTTTTCTGATTAAAGCCCCTTTCTCTCCTACCGACACTTACCTCTTGAATTATTGGCATATGAGCAGTGAGCAGCCGAACCTCGTGTTGACTTAAAAGAAATATATGCACAACGTGACAGCTGTGAGTTAAGTTTTATTTGGGGCACAATGAGGACTGCAGCCCGGGAGACAGCGTTACAGATAACTCTGAGAAACTGCTCCAAGGAGGCGAGGCGAGAAGCCAGGTTATATAGAAGTTTTGCAACAAAGGGCAGGTAGTAGTACAAAGATTATTCTTAATTAAAGAAAACCAGATATCTCAAGTTAGGGAATTTGGCACTTTTCTGTGTATGGGAAGTTGCAAGAGTCTTGGCTCACTGAAATCATTCCTTTGATATGCACCTCAGCTCTCTGGGGCCAGTATCCTGACACATCCTGAGTTCCCTCAGGGCTCACCGGCTCACTGTAGGAGGTGGGTGCAATCGCTAAAGACTGTGACATCCTTTGTTTACTGATATGGTAGGCAGTATTTTATTTCTCAGCATCATTTTCCCAACCGCATTATTTTTGTTTTAAGAATTTTTAAAAAGTTAAAATTCTAAAATTATTTTTGTTTAATATTTTAAAAATTGAGGTATAGTTGATGTATAATATTATAGAATTTTCAGGTGTACAACACAGTGATTCACAATTGTGGACTGAAAAAAAAAAAGCACAACCTAAAAGTGGAGAATTATGTTATACTTGGCAGACTTTCTGAGGATTGAAAGTCAGAAGACGGCTTCTCAGATCGCCCTGAGGGACCTCTCCAGAGGTAAGGGAGGAACCAGGATGGATAGGAATTTTGCAACAAAAATCAGGTAGTAGAAACATCGAAAGATTACTGTTAATTAAAGAAAACCAGACATGTCAAGTTAATGAATTTAGTGCTTTTCTAGGTATGGGAAGATGCAAGAGTCTGGGCTGATTGAAATCATTCCTTTGATATGCACCTTAAGTATCTAGGGCCAGTATCCTGCTTTTCTCCATCCTGAATCCCCTCGGGGTGCACAGTTGGGGGCGGCTGCAGTGGAAGCTGACTTGATGGCTGCAACTTCCTTTGTTTACTGATATGGCAGCTGACATTCTTCCTCCATAACGCTTAGATTTCCAAATCTCAGGCTAAGTTTTTCTTTTTTTTTTTTTCGGTACGCGGGCCTCTCACTGTTGTGGCCTCTCCCGTTGCAGAGCACAGGCTCCGGACGCGCAGGCTCAGCGGCCATGGCTCACGGGCCTAGCCGCTCCGCGGCATGTGGGATCTTCCCGGACTGGGGCACGAACCCGTGTCCCCTGCATCGGCAGGCGGACCCTCAACCACTGCGTCACCAGGGAAGCCCTCAGGCTAAGTTTTTCGAAACAGCATTCATTTGTATTATTATTTTAATTAATTAATTAATTTTGGCTGCGTTGGGTCTTCGTTGCTGCCCGCGGGCTTTCTCTAGTTGTCGTGAACGGGGGGGGGGTGCTACTCTTCGTTGAGGTGCGTGGGCTTCTCATTGCGGTTGCTTCTCTTGTTGCAGAGCGCAGGCTCTAGGCGCGCGGGCTTCAGTAATTGTGGCACGCGGGCTCAGTAGTTGTGGCGCACGGGCTTAGTTGCTCCGCGGCTTGTGGGATATTCCCAGATCAGGGCTCGAACCTGTGTCCCCCTCATTGGCAGGTGGATTCTTAACCACTGCGCCCCCAGGGAAGTCCCAGCATTCATTATTAATTCACAAAATGAAAAAAAAAAAAGTTTAGGAATCATAAGTAATTTACTTGTAATTGGAAGTCACTTTTCTACCATAGGAAAGCATTTTAAAATTTGTCGCCCTGAACTATAATTTTAATGAAAGTGAATAAAACCTTTCCGCAAACCACAGAAAATGAATTTTCATAATTATGTTTATAAGTAAAATAGTCAGTTGTATTCAAGTTTATACTTTTTTACTCCATCTCAAGTTGGAGGGTATTTTCTGAAATGAGCAGTCATATGAAATGCTATAAATGTTTTGGGCTTATTTATTTATTTTAAATATTTATTTTTTTGTCTGCATTGGGTCTTAGTCGCAGTAGGCGGGATTTTCGTTGCGGCCCGCTGGCTCTTTGTTGTGGCATGCGGTCTTCTCTCTAGTTGTGGCGTGTGGGTTTACTCTCTCTAGTTGTGGCGCAGGGGTTCCAGGCCGCGTGGGCTCTGTAGTTTGCTGCAAGCGGGCTCTCTCTTGAGGCGTGCGATCTCAGTAGTTGTGGCGCATGGGCTTAGTTGCACCGCGGCATGTGGGATTGTTTTGGGCTAATTTAATCAGAACCTTAAGAATTTTCAGGTCCAACGCAAACTTAATTAAGCTTTTATTGCTTTTCTTTTTCAATCAGTTAAAATAGGAGTTCAATTGCTTTCGGGATATCACAGCCTTTTCATATTTCAAAATTATTTAGCAACACTCAAAAACAGATCTAAAAAACATTTCCTTGCAGTGTAAAATGCACACCTGAGAACTGTGGCGCCTCACACCTGTGGATATGCTGAGACCAGTCCTGTTCGGCGGCTGGGGCCTCAGGGTCCGACTTCACATGGGGTAAAGTTACTTGGCAGATCGCTCGAGTTGCTGATCTCAAGCCCCAGAGGCGGGGGAGGGGACGAAGGGCGGGGCTTTCCCGTGTCAAAGGTCACACTTCAAAACCTAACGTGAACCTGCCTTTCATGTGGTGATGTAACTGCGAGTCTGTTCTTAAAGGGAACATTTCCACGGTGACCTCGGCCCTTGCCGTGTCCCACCTTTTCTCATCTTCACTCCGGATATGGAGCGATCCGCGGGGAAACTGAGTCTGGACTTCCAGGTGCAGGAGGAGGACACAGGCGAGCCGCCCAGGTGGGCAGATGCCACACGGTGCGCCGCGCCCAGAGCCCGGTCTGCACTGAGCCCAAGTCCCAGGCGGGCGGATCAGACACGCGTGTGCCTGTGGCCTGCCAAGTAGGAGCAGGGGCGGGGTCTGGTTGAACTGTCCAATCAGCGACGACTGGGCGGGGTCTGGACAAAGCAACCTGGCCCGAATGGGATCAGGAGGGCTGTCCGTCAGGGCAGGGGCGGGGCACAGATTACTATCCAATCAGAGCCCGGGCGCCGGAGAGTCGTCCAATGAGGACGCGCGGCGGGCGCGTTCCCAACCCGCGGAAGTTTTCCTCAGCAGCCCCGCCCCTTGTGCGAACCCGCTTGGCCTCAGGTGATCCGTCCCCATCGCTCTCACCTGCCCAGGTTGCAAGGCCGCAGTGAGGACGCTTCAGAGAACCCGGAAGCAGTCGGAGATGGTGAGTGCGCGGCCCGGGTCCCGAACTTGGAAGAGGCTGCATAGAATAGACCGGAGCCTATCGAAAGCGGCGGCGGGCCGGGATCTCCCCACGTCCCACCCGCCCCGGGATCCCGACCCGAGTCTCCCCCTCGGCCTCGGGGTGGGGACCCGGCGTCCTGTCCCGTGTCGAGACCCGAGTCTCCCCCTCGGCCGCGGGGTGGGGACCCGGCGTGTTGTCCTCAGGTCCGGACTTGAGTTTCAGCCCTCAGCCGCTGGTTGTGGTCCAGCCTTCTTGACTGACCCCTCGGCTGAGTCGGGGTCCGAGGCAGGAAAGGATGGTCAGGCGCTGTGGGATATCCGCCCTGGACCTGACACATAAAGTCAAGTCTAGAGATGGTGAAGGAGACGGCAAATACTGCAAATACTGTTGCGATAGGGCCGAGGTTCAGATCCCAGAGATGTGCCAGCGTCTCCAACCGCACAGAAAAGGGCTTTTCTGTGTGAGGAGGGAAGTTGGGCGAGTGAGGGCGATGCGTGGACTGCGGGACCAGCGAGGCTGGACTGGACAGGGTCCTCTGGGTGGGCCCATTCTCTTAAGCTGACCAGGGACTTGTTCTGAACCTCATTGTTCCCTGGGTGCTACCCAAAGTTCAGGGGCTTGTGGGGGTGAGCCTGATGATGTGGGGGAAGAAATGAGATGCGGAGAAGCTGAGAAGGCCAGATATGGGGGGAGGGTATCAAGGGAGAACCCACGAGGCCCGCCCCTTCCTTGCACGCAGTGACATCGCAGAGTGTCTTTGTGCTTAAACAAAGGGCACCGATCCAGGGACTCCTCTGGCCGTCAATTGGTTAAGACTGCGCTTCCACTGCAGGGGAATGGGTTCTATCCCTGCTCGGGGATCTCAATCTGGCATGCCCCACCGCCAAAAAAAAAAAGACACCGATCCACAGTGACCTTGCCCACTGGACGGACCCCTGACTCAAGAGGTCCCCAGGCCCTCCTGTGGCATGTAGAAAATCTGTATTTAGGCTGCAAAGAACAAAGAACTTTGTTTGGGGGTCTTAAGAATCGCAATTTGGGAGACATGTTTGTATAAAAACGTGCCACCACCTCTAACCCACTGCCAAGGGCTTCTCTCTTCTTTGTGAGGACTTGAGAGCAAGGCTCTTTGTCAGGTCCGGGCCCCCTGTGGTCAGTGCATTCTAGACCCAGGTCTGCAGGGGCTTGTTCTGCAGCTCAGTGTTGCTCAGGGTCGGGGTGCGGGGGGCTGAGGAGGGACCCAAATTCAGAGGCCTCTGGGGGAGAAGTCTGAGCAAAGTTCGGGTAAGAAATGGCTGTTGACCTTAAAAATGAGTCAGTTATTTACCAGCAAAAAAAATTTTCTTTTCTTTGGCGAACGGCAAAGAATTGTAACTCAGGTAGACAAGGTATAGCAAAAGCCACAGACAAGTCCAATAAACTTATTTATCTCCCAGTGGGCAGCCCCTGGGGTGACAGCTGTTCTGGTCTTTTTGGTATTCTTTGCCTCTTTACCTCTGTCCTTCATCACCGAGCAGTGTTTTATTTGATTTTGCTTCTGCTGAATTTGTGATAAGTGAATATGAGCAGTGCTACACCAGTGACATCACATGGAAGGCTTCTGTGTGGCTCTCAGTCGCAGTCTATTTCACACGTGCTGCAGTCAGAGGAAAGGGGTCCCCCGGTTAACTCCTCCATCCAGTCCTTGTGGATTTTGCTCATGGTTGTCCCATGTTAATTTATTTATTTATTATTTTTTTAAATTTAGAAATTTTTTGTTTTGGCCTGCGAGGCTCTTCGATGTGGCACGCAGGCTTCTCTAGTTGTGGTGCGCAGGCTTAATTGCCCCCAGGCATGTGGGATCTTACTTTGGGATCTTAGTTTCCCCACCAGGGATCAAACCCTGGTCCCCTGCATTGAAAGGCGGATTCTTAACCCCTGCGCCACCTGGGAAGTCCCGTCTCATGTTAATTTCTGATCTGTCACCAATGCTGTTACACTCCTTTTTGTCTCCTGGGTCAAATGTATCACAAATTTTTTACTCTTGGGCAAAAATTGCCAGGTTGTAGATTATGGATGTTTTTAAAATACTAGGAAATGTGGATGTTGGGCTGGAGTCGAGTGTTTATTCCACACCCTTTCCAGCACTTGGAGAATCCACCTTAATTTTGTCTATCTCAAGTGTCTGAAACGGGATCTCCTTGTGATGGTATATTGGTTTTTACTGATAACCCGTTGGTGTTCAGCATTTCTTTTTTTAAATTTTCATTTTATATTGGAGTATAGTTGACTTACAATGTTGTATTAATTTCAGGTGTACAACAAAGTGATTCAGTTATATATATATATATATATATACATATATATATACACCTATTTTTCAGATTCTTTTCTCATTTAGGTTATTACAGAAAATTGAGTAGAGTTCCTTGCGCTATACAGTAGGTCCTTGTTGATTATCTGTTTTATATATAGTAGTGTGTATCTGTTAATCCCAAACTCCTAATTTATCCCTCCCCCCACCTTTCTCCCTTGGTAACCATAAATTTGTTTTCTAAGTCTGTGAATCTGTTTCTGTTTTGTAAGTAAGTTCATTTGTATCATTTTTTTAGTTTCCACATATAAGTGATATCATATGATATTTGTCTCTTTCTGACTTACTTCACGTAGTATGATAATCTCTAGGTCCATTTGTGTTGCTGCAAATTGTATTATTTCATTCTTTTTTATGGCTGAGTAGTATACGTGTGTGTGTGTGTGTGTGTGTGTGTGTGTGTGTGTTTTTGTGCATTCATCTGTCAATGGACATTTAGGTTGCTTCCATGTCCTGGCTATTGTAAATAGTGCTGCAATGAACATTGGGGTGCATGTATCTTTTTAAATTATGGTTTTCTCCAGATATATGCCCAGGAGTGGGATTGCTGGATCATAACGGTAGCTCTATTTTCAGTTTTTTAAGGAACCTCCATACTATTCTACATAGTGACTGCACCAATTTACATTCCCACCAACAGTGTAGGAGGGTTCCCTTTTGTCCAAACCCTCTCCAGCATTTGTTATTTGTAGACTTTTTAACAATGGCCATTCTGACCAGTGTGAGGTGGTACCTCATTGTAGTTTTGATTTGCATTTCTCTAATAATTAGCAATGTTGAGCATCTCGAAAGAAAATTAGTTTTAATACCAAGTAGGTTTTTTTTTTGGCTGTGCTATGTGGCTTGCGGGATCTTAGTTCCTTGACCAGGGGTCGAAGCTGTGCCCCCTGCAGTGGAAGCAGAGTCCTAATCCGTGGACCATCAGGGAATTCCCCCAAGTAGTTTTAAAAGTCTATGTGTATAAAATTTTAAACATTTACTTTCAACTGCTTGTTTCTAATGATCAGAGTACACTGAGATTTATATTTATGAGTTTGCATTCTGGAAATGTACTAAAAATCTGATTCTGTGATTATCTTTTTTTTTTAAACATCTTTATTGGAATATAATTGCTTTACAATGGTGTTTTTTAGTTTCTGCTTTATAACAAAGTGAATCAGCTATACATATACATATATCCCCATATCTCTTCCCTCTTGCGTCTCCCTCCCATCTGTGATTATCTTAGTATTCTTTTTGGGTAGACATAGACAGTCATTTGAGCTATGAATAAAGGCACATGTTTTATTCTGTTATGACTATTGCACTTTGCAAATACTTTGATTTTTACAGATTGCAGGTATGTGGCAACCCTGCATCCAGCGAGCCTTTGGGTGCCATTTTTTACCAAGAGCATTTGCTTACTAATGGCTAATGTTTTAGCAATAAACTCTTTTAAAAAATTAAGGTACATGGGCTTCCCTGGTGGTGCAGTGGTTGAGAGTCCGCCTGCCGATGCAGGGGACGCGGGTTTGTGCCCCCGTCCGGGAAGATCCCACATGCCGCGGAGCGGCTGGGCCCGTGAGCCATGGCCGCTGAGCCTGCGCGTCTGGAGCCTGTGCTCCGCAACGGGAGAGGGCACAACAGTGAGAGGCCCACGTACCGCAAAAAAAAAAAAAATTAAGGTACATACAAGGTTTTAGTCACAATGCTCTTGCACACTTAGTAGACTACCGTATAGTGTGAACATGACTTTATGCACCAGGAAATAAAAAAATTTGTGTAACTCCCTTAATTTCGATATTCACTTTATCTGGGTGGTCTGGAGTAAAAACTATCTCTGAGGTCTGCCTGTATTTTTTTCCTGGTAAAACCACATCATTGATCTTCTATTAATGATTTTAAAAAATCAAGCACGCACTAATCTCCATTAGAGAGCTTTCTATATCTATTATTACCAAGAGCTCAGGATGAGAATGCAATTCACATTGTCTTTTATGTGCCCAAGTTCTATTGTTTTTGTTTGTTTCTTTGTTTTTATTCTGCTCATTATCTTTAATTTTAAAAAAAATCTTTGTTGGAGTATAGTTGATTTACAATGTTATGTTAGTTTCAGGTGTACAGCAAAGTGAATCAGTTATACATATACATATATGCATCCTTAAAAAAAATTTTTTTTTATAAATTTATTTATATTTGGCTGTGCTGGGTCTTTGTTGCTGCGCACAGGCTTTTGCAAGTTGCGGCGAGTAGGGGCTACTCTTTGTTGCGGTGCGTGGGCTTCTCATTGCAGCAGTTCCAGTAGTTGTGTCATGTGGGCTCAGTAGTTGTGGTTCACGGGCTCTAGAGCGCAGGCTCAGTAGTTGTGGTGCACGGGCTTAGTTGCTCCGCAGCATGTGGGATCTTCACGGACCAGGGATCGGACCCGTGTCCCCTGCATTGGAAGGCGGATTCTTAAGCACTGCACCACCAGGGAAATCCCTATCTATTAGCTTTCATGTTAGTGTTTGCTTTCGCCTCTCTCAAGTAGATAGATACCTAGGTTGAAATTGGTGACTCAGTGTTCATCATTTTGAGGAACTACCAGACTGTCTTCCAAAGTGGCTTCACCATCTTACCTTCCCTCCAGCACTGGGTGAGGGTTCCAAGTTCCTCATGTCCTCGCCAGCACTTGTTTCTCTGTCTTTATATCCATCTTGGTGGGTGTGAAGACATGTCTGCTTGTAGCTTTGATTGGCATTTCCCTGATGAGTAATGTCCAGCATCTTTTAATGAGCTTATTGATTGATCAGTTGTATTCATTCTTTTTTTAATTAAAATTGTTTTAAAATAAATATATTTATTTTTGGCTGCATTGGGTCTTTGTTGCTGTGTGTGGTCTTTCTCTAGTTGTGGCGAGCGGGGGCTGCTCTTTGTTGCAGTGGGAGGGCTTCTCATTGCAGGGGCTTTTCTTGTGTCGGAGCACGGGCTTTAGAGTACAGGCTCAGTAGTTGTGGTGCACGGGCTTGTTGCTCCAAGGCATGTGGGATCTTCCGGGACCAGGGCTGGAACCCGTGTCCCCTGCATTGGCAGGTGGATTCTTAACCACTTCGTCACCAGGGAAGTCCCTAAAAATGTATTTAAAATACAAGTTTCTTATCAGGTGTGTGATTAGCAAACCCCAGTTGCAGCCCTGGGTGAGGCAGCCTTGCCTTCTTTGTAGCTGATGTATTTGGAATTTTTTATAGTTTAGATTGTCAGAATATATTTTGAATTAAAATTCTAATTTATAAAAATAATTGCTTGCTTTGTATTTCAGGGGTCTGGTGTCATCCATATTGTCCTAAAGATAATAATTAGGTGTTTTTTTTCTCTCTGTTCAAGTCTCCTTTGGCCCTATTGCCGTCAGATCCTTCTGTGACTCTTCTTTGTGGAACATTTTCCTCTATTTCTGGGCACATGATTATCTGAGAGGCCCTGCTGGCTTGACAGATCCCTCAGGAACCAGGCCTCCTCTTACCCCACAGCTGTCCCAGGCCCTGGGCCCTGGCCTGCATCTGTGCCCTCGGTGTCCACCTCATCCTGGCAGGGGGTCGTGTCTGCCTCTGTTGGATATGAGGGGACTGGCCCAGGCTTTTACATGCTTTTCAGTCCAGGCGAGAGTTGTTCAGATGCAGCGGCCCTGGAAAATCAGTGTTCACGGCCTCCTGACAGTCTGCTCCTGTTCTAGGAGTTTCAAGGAAATAACTTTTGACCAAACCAAGTATTCATTTCCTTCTTATCTGAATGATGATTTTATTTTCAGTCTTTACCACCTCAGATTCTTCTCTCTCACTGAAAACAGTTTTTTTTAAAAAATTGAAGTATAGTTGATTTACAATATTGTGTTACTTTTAGGTATACAGCAAAGTGATTTGGTCATGCATGTATATATATATATTTTTTCAGATCTTTTTTCATTATAGATTATTAAAAGATTTGAATATAGTTCCCTGTGGTATATAGTAAATCCTTGTTTATCTATGTTTTAAAACACATTTACTTTTTAAAATTTATTTATTTTTTGTGGCCATGCCGCATGGCACGTGGGAACTTAGTTCCCCGACCAGGGATTGAACCCATACCCCCTGCAGTGGAAGCGTGGAGTCTTAACCACTGGACCGCCAGGGAAGTCCCTGTTTATCTATTTTATATTTGGTAAAAAAACAGTTCTTTTTCATTATGTGTGCATGAGTGTTTATCAGATATTGCTTTTGCTTCAGTTTCCAGCACTTACCATCACTGAGTAAAATGCATTTGATTGGCTTGTGTGTGTTCATTTCCCACAGGAGTGTAAGCTCAGGAGTCCTAGGAATTGAGTCTGGTTCCCAACTGCCAGCCTCGCCATCCTCCCACACACGGGGGTGAAGAGGGAGCCTTGCTGACATGGAACCTGTGGCTGTTTCAGGACTCGGTGGGCTTTGAGGATGTGGCTGTGAACTTCACTGTGGAGGAGTGGGCTTTGCTGGGCCCGGCTCAGAGGAACCTCTGCAGAGACGTGATGCTGGAGACCTTCAGGAACCTGGCTTCTGTGGGTGAGGATGGCTTCCTCCCTGTACTTGGTCTTTAGAGAACAAATATTTCTTAACAGTTGTCCTTTCTTATAAGGGACAAGGATGGGAATATGTTGGAGAAAAGACAGACACAGTCCAAGCTTTCATGAAACCTACTTAGGGTCAGGTAGCTTTTCCATGAAAACAAAGTTTACTGTATTGATTGACTCTTTGTTACTCTTGATCAGAATCCTGAGGCTCCCTAATTGTGTAAATGTGAGCGTGGTCTCCAGTGTCACTTTGGGGCAATGAGAGCAGCGTTTCGGTTTTCATCCTGTGAAAGTTACACTGTGATCAGTACACATTTGACCTGATAATCTTGCTGTAGTTAAACCCAAACTCACCCATCCTCAGTGACTTGAGGACCAGAGAAGCGGCTCATCTGATGGATGGCTTGTGGTCCTCCATCCTCCCCCTGAGGAGCTTTTCTCCACGAGCAGGACAGCAGCCACGCACCATCTGATCTCCTAGTGGCAGCTGGGTCAGTGGAGATAGGCTTCGTCTAGGGCCTCTGTGCCTGCGATCACCAGGAGGGCACACCTCTTGGGAGGAGCAGGTTCTGGATCAGGGAGAGATATTTGGACATAACTGTTAGAAACATGCCTCTGTCTTTGAGAAGGTGATGTTTGTCATTAACCTGGCTTCCCTGTTGGACTTTTCATCCATCTTTGCCCACTTGGGAAGTCTTTCTGTAGCACCTTTTACAAAGAGAGCATTTGGGAATGTGCATTTCACCCAGTTCCTTCCTACTTTACTTCTCTGATAATATTGGTCTCAATATCAGTCTCCATCTTTCTCTCTCTCTCTTTTTTTTTTTAAAGAAGCAACATTTTATTATTTTTTAATTCTTTTGGCCGTGCCTTGCAGCATACGGGAACTTAGTTCTCCAACCAGGGATCAAACCTGTGCCCCCTGCAATAGAATTGCAGAGTCTTAACCACTGGACTGGCAGGGAATTCCCCAATCTCTGTCTCTTTTGAAGTATTTCTTAGTGATCAGGCTGCCACTTTGACTCAGTTTCCCTACCATGGTGGAAGTTCCAAATAGCCAAGGTCCTCATAAGGTTTTCTTGGCTTGAGTGTTAAATTAGGTGTAGACCCAGTTCCAACGTGTTGTGGGCATGTGTTAAGGCACCACACACCAACAATTTTTGGACAGCAGCAGGGCATCATAGAATTCAGGTCAATGCTCAGATTATCTACCCAGCAATAGCCACAGATTCCATGGCTGAAGGATTCAGTCCTATAAGACTCACCCCCACCCCCGCCATCTTCACACCCCACGTCACATGCGGATCACAAGGCCAGGCTGTTGCCAGCGCTTCTGACCAACCAGCTAACATTGGAGATTCCAGTGACCTCCTTTTAGACGTCAGACTCCATATGTAAGCCCAGGTTGTTAACCTTGACTTCTGACCGACTGGCTGTGAATGAGAGCTTTCCATCGCCCCCTCCTCTAGTCCAGTTATTTTGCTACCACACTCACAGGACTCAGGGGAACATTTTACTTACTTCACTGCCACTTCAATGTAAACAGATATCACTGAAGAATAGCCAGATGGAAAAGATTCATAGGGGAAGCTATGTCAGGAGGGCATGGAGTTTCCACGCCCCGTCCAGGTGCCACTCTCCCCGCATCTCCATGTGTTCTGCAACCCAGAAGCTCTCTGAACCCCCCTTTTATTGTGTGGAGGCTTCATTCCCTAGGCATGATTGATGGAATCACTCTCCATTGGCAAGTGATTCAACCTACAGCCTCTCTCCCTTCCCCATTGCTGGTGCTGTGTCCAGGGGTGTGAGTGGGACTGAAAGTTCCACCCTTTAATCACATGGTGTCTCCATTTGCAACCAGCCCCCATCCTGTGGTGCTTTCCGACAGTCACCTTCATGAATATAAATACAGTTGTGATGGAAAGGGCTTGTTATGAGTAACAAAACACTCATTTCACCCTTCTGACCCTGAAGCATTTTCAGGAACTGAGGACAGGAGACCAAATATTATTCCACTGCTTTTATTGCTCAGGAAATTCCAAGAGTTTTGGGATGCTTGAGCAGGATACTGTGGATGAGGACCTGATCTATCTGAGAAATATATGTCATTCATTGGAATGACCAAAAATATATGTATGTATTTTCTTTTTCTTTTTCATTTTTTGCAGTATGCGGGCCTCTCACTGTTGTGGTTTCTCCCGTTGTGGAGCACAGGCTCTGGACGCACAGGCTCAGCAGCCATGGCTCACGCGCCCAGCCGCTCTGCGGCATGTGGGATCTTCCTGGACCGGGGCATGAACCCGTGTCCCCTGCATCGGCAGGCGGACTCTCAACCACTGCGCCACCAGGGAAGCCCATGTATGTATTTCTTATAAACCACAGTGTTGCACATGACCATCCTTCCTTATAAATTTAGTTTTACATTTTTGAATCAGTCTGTGGAAAGACATCTACATATGGTCTCTTTTCTTTCCTTTTCCCCACCTTTTCTTCCCCAAGGATTTAGTTATGCTACCAATTGTTGCAGGCTCTTGCCCTCAAGTTAAAACCAGTGGATCAAGTTCTCAGTGGGATATTTTAGAGAATGTACTATGCAGTGAAGAGAAAATAGTAAGATTCAGAAGAAATGATTCCTAGTCTGTTTTTGGAGAAAACTGGGCATTTCATAACATGCATGATCAGCATGTAACCCAGGAGAGGCGTTTGAGGTGAGTGGCACTCCCACGGGGGTGGCGGTGAGGCAGGTGTCATCAGAGTGTTAGACTCACTTGAAATTGAATAGAAACCTAGTTAAACAATTGTGTATTCAGAGTATTTTCACAAGACAGTACTTTCATAAATATGATGTCGATATTAAGCATCTGAAACATAATTCAGTAGGAAACAATGGTCAGGAAACCTCATCTGGAAAACAGTGAAAGTTACGGTTCTATTTGAGCCCTCAGCTAGAGTATTAAATTTGTTGCACTTTGTAACAGTTGAAGAGCATTCTGGAAACATGCCAATGGCAAACACTTAGTCAACACAAATACTAACAATCATCGGTAAATCATTAATTAGTAAATTACTGATAAGTATTAATCCCTAATAGTGTGCTTCCCATTTTGAACAGAAGTCATTTGGTGGAGAGTCTCTGTGAAGGTAAAGAAGATCATCAATGTGGAGAAACCCTGAACCAGATTACAAATCTTACTGTGCATAAGGGTTATCGCACTGCAGTTCAGCCCTATAAATGCACTAAGTGTGGAAAAACCTTCAGGGATTGTTCTTTCCAGAGGAATCAGCAAAGATCTCACCCTGGACACAAACCTTATCCATGTGAAGGATGTGGGCAAGCCTGCAGCTCTGTCTCCTGCCTAAATCCTCCTGGGGAAACAGACATTGTAGAGAAACGTGATAAACATCAGGATGCTGGGAGAGCAGCTAAGAGGTACATGAAGAGTGACAGTAGTAAACAGTCTTTAGAGCATAAGAAATCTGGAAAAGCTCTCACTTGCCTGCCATCTGTTCAGTGACGTAAGAGAGGTCATTATGGACAGAAATCCACGTGTGTGAAGTATGTGGGAAATCCTTCAGTTATTCCCAGATTGCACGGCATGTGAGAACTCACACTGGAGAGAAACCCTATGAATGTAAAGAATGTGGGAAAGCTTTCACTTGCAGCACACAGTTTCAAGAACATGTGAGAATGCACACTGGAGAGAAACCCTATGAACATAAGCAGTGTGGGAAGCCTTCCCATATTGCAAATCCCTGCAAGGACACATGGGAATGCACACTAGAGAGAAGCCTTCTCGCGTGTGTAATGAATGTGGAAAAGCCTTCCATTGTCCCAGGTACATTAGAAGGCACATAAAAAGACACAGTGGAATAAAACCCTATGAATGTACAGAATGTGGGAAAGCGTTCATTAGTCCCTCATCCCTTCGAGAACATATGAGGACACACAGTGGAGAGAAGCCCTATCAGTGTCAGCATTGTGGAAAAGTCTTCAGGCTTCAGAGATCTCTGCAAGGACACATGATTACCCACAGTGATGAGAAACCCCATCAGTGTCAGCAGTGTGGGAAAGCCTTCAAATATCCCATATCTCTGAAAGGACACATGAAAACACACAGTGAAAAGAAACTGTGTGAATGTCAGCAGCGTGAAAAAGCCTACTGTTATCTCGTATCCCTGCAAAAACACATGAAGACACACACCGTGGGAAAACTTGAATCCAAGAATAGTGGGAAAGCCATAATTCTGTCTTAAAAATTAGAAGTGGGAGCAAGTGTCAAGAAATTTTTTTTTTTACACCACATGGCTTGTGGGATCTTAGTTCCTCAACCAGGGATCGAACCCAGACCCCCTGCAGTGGAAGCATGGAGTCCTAAGCACTGGACCACCAGGGAGTTGCTGAGCAATCTTATGAATGGAAAAAATTTTGGAAAATTTTTTTTCTTTTGTAAGTGTCTTATCCTTAATACTGATCTCAGTACATTAATTTGTACTTCATGTTGCTGATCTGAACATGTAATAAGTATCCCTCCATGTTCGTCTCTACCACTTACATTTTGTTATCTCTGAGTTTATATCATTGTACAATCATATAAAACTTGTCTCATTTCCATTAGAATGTCTTTGATACCAGGGGTGCTAAGTGGCTTTTGGTTTGTGATTTTTTTTATGTGCAACTTGTGATTTCTTTCATTTTTGATGAACAGATTTTTGATTCTTACTTTCCATTATGTTCCTAATATGTGATCATGATATGAGGCTGGCATTAATTAAATATCTTTCCTTGTCCACTGTTAAGAGATACTGGAATCTCCTGAATCAATATTTACCCTCTCCTTGAGTCTTCATTACTGAAAGGTGTGTCTTCCAAGTTGTTTGTTGCTAGCAGATACCGTATATGTGTTCCTCCCAGAAATTAGTAATTGTGGAAGGTCATGGAAGATGACAGGCTTATCTGATTATGTTCATAATCTGACCTCTGTTCATGTCCATGATCTTGGTTGCAAATTGAACACAATAGATTGAGTTAAGAAGAGTGACCTGAGGGACTTCCCTGGCAGTCCAGTGGTTAAGACTCCGAGCTTCCAATGCAGGGGGTGCGGGTTCGGTCCCTGGTTGGGGAACTAGGATCCCACATGCTGTGTGGCCACCCCCCCCAAAAAAAAAGTAAAAAAAAAAAAGAAATAAGAGCGACCTGGTGGTGTGAAAATGAAAGCTCCTATCCAGATTGTTCTACTGAACTGGGTTGTCATCTTGGGTAAGGTGGGAAAATATATCCAGAGTCCTTCTGTTAGTGGTTCTGAGTTAAAGTTCTTGAGAAGAGGAAGATGCATGAGGTCTGGAATGCAGGAATGAGGAAGCCATGATTCTTTTTTTTAATTTTATTATTGTTTTGGCCAAAAAGTTCGTTCGGTTTTAAGTAAAAATAGAAAGTATCACATTTTTCATTTTCACCAAGAATTTTATTGAACAATGTATTCACTAACTGAACGAACTTTTTGGCCAAACCAATATCATTATTTTTATTTTTTTGGCTGCACCACTTGACATGCAGGATCTTAGTTCCCTGACCAAGGATTGAACGCTTGCCCTCTTCAGTGGAAGCATGGAGTCTTAACCACTGGACCGCCAGGGAAGTCCCCAAGGAAACCATGATTCTCGGGTCTTCTGTACCATCAGGAGACAGAGATGCATGGCAGCCTACTGGCCCTGAGTTCTAGCACAGTTTTCTGACTTCTGGCTCTGCCCATACGGAAGAGCTCCAACTACACATATATTTGATGAGCAGTGAGAGTCCCCATAAAGCCTTGCCTGAATTTCTCGTCTGGCCTCATTTCAATTTCTGTTGATTAGAGAGTCCAAGGACCCAGGTCAATAACCATACTGGCAGAAAAACAGACACATACATAAATGGAACAGAATAGAGAGCTCAGAAATAAATACAATGTAAGGTCAATTAATGTAGGAGAAAAGATGCAAGAATATACAATGGGGAAAAGACAGCCTCTTCAATAAATAGTGTTGGGAAAACTGGCACCTACATGTAAGAGAATCAAACGACTTTTTTCTCACGATATATATATATATATATATATATATATATACACACACACACACACATACATACATATGCAACACACACACATATATATGTAAAGGCTTTGTACAACTCAATATGAACAAAAAAAAACCCACTTAAAGAATGTGCACAAGATCTAAATAGACATTTTTCCAAAGAAGACATACAGATGGCCAACAGACACATGAAAAGCTGCTCAACATCACTAATCAGGGAGATGCACATCATAACACAGTGAGATAACACCTGTCAATGACACCTGTCAGAATGGCTATTATCAAAAAGACCACCAATAACAAGTGTTGTGAAGCATTTGGAGAAAAGTGTAACCTAGAGCACTGTTGCTAGGAATATCAATGGCTGCAGTCATTATGGAAAACAACATGGAGTTTCTTAAAATAAAAATAGAACTACTGTACGATCCAGCAATCCCACTTCTGGGTATTTTTTTAAGAAAACAAAAACTAATTCAAAAATACATATGCACCTCTATGTTCATTGCAGCATTATTTACAATGGCCGAGGTACAGAGGCAACCTCAATGTCTCAACAGAAGCGTGGATAAAGAAGACAGTGCATGTATGTACAATGGAATAGTACTCAGCCATAGAAAAGAATGAAATTTTAGCATTTGGGACAACGTATATGGCACTAGAGGGTATTCTAAGTGAAATAACTCAGGCAGAGAAAGGCAAATGCTGTGTGGTTTCACTCATGTGGAATGAAGAAAACAAAACATGGAGAGTCATGACAAAACAGAAATAGACTCACAGATACAGAGAAACAAGTGGTCGTCAGAATGGAGGGTAGTAAGGAGAATGAGTGAAACAGGTGAGGGAGATGAAACAAACTTCCAGTCCTTTTAAAGTCAGTCAGTCACAGGGATGTAATATACAGCATTTATAGAGTCAGTCATATTGTATGGTGGGAATTCCCTGGCAGTCCAGTGGTCAAGACTCTGCACTTTCACTGCTGAGGGCCTGAGTTCTATCCCTAGTTGGGGAACTAAGATCCTGCAAGCCATGTGGTGTGGGTCACGGAAAAAAAAAGAGTGAAGATTTCTTTCCTGAACGAATTAATGCAATTTTTAAAAAAAGTGTGATATTGGTGGCTGTGAGCAGGGTGGGGCTTCTGACA